TAGTAGTAGTAGTAGTAGTAGTTAGCAGGAGTAGTAGTAGCAGGAGTAGTAGTAGTAGCAGGAGTAGTAGTAGTAGTAGTAGTAGTAGCAGGAGTAGTAGTAGTAGTAGCAGCAGCAGTAGTAGTAGAAGTAGTCGTCGTCGTCGTCGTAGTAGTAGTAGTAGTGACCAGTCAAATTGAGAGGAGCTTGTCTAAGCCCCGATCCGTGGTCCGCGCTCACGTCGTCGTAGGCATCCAAGGCTGTGGCCCAAGCACGCATAACCTAAACCACCACATACACGGAGTACGCACTGTTTTACAAAGTTGCACTGCAGCCGAGGATACTGAAGGTCGTCGGCCGCGTCTGCCTTTTTGTTGGGCATGGAATGCTTGCAAGATCTTGGCGGCTTCCCTTCCATCCGCATCGGTTGCCGAAACGATCATCACGGAGCCCATGTCGTTGGTGTGCTCCTCCAAGTAGGGAAAGTCTCCATCTTTCGGACCTGGGTCTGGGTGCATCTGGGCCCAAGACTCGGACAGCAAAAGGACTTCAATGCTGTGCGGCGAGAAGTCTGGAGCAGAATGCGCTCCATGGTGAAGTCTTCTGTCTCCAAGAGCAAGTTTTCGCCATCTACCTCAATGAAGGGGTACTTCCGCTGCTCTTGTGCATTATGCCTCAGTGACATAGAAGCAGGCATCTCTGCTCAATTCATCCTGCAGCTTCAGGCACTGCAGGACTGGGGCTTGGGCAGATCCTCCTCTAGAGCGGGATATTCGAGCACCGTCATGTCATTGTTCACATCTGGCTGGATGCCCACTAAGTGCAGTCCTTGATGCAGGAGTCTGGGACCACTGGCGGCAACAACAACGCTCACAAAACAGAAGTACGACGGGCAATCTTCTCCTGGACCTGATCCTATGTAGGCCGGATGTGAGATCCTGCCCGTGCCCGGTTGTGCAGCTTGAACAATTCTCGTGCATTCACAGCTATGCTGAGTTCGTGTTTAGCCCTGCCAGCCCGGGCTCCGGCACAAGGCTCTGCTCCAACGCCGCCTATTCTCGGCTATTGGCACGTGCGGGGTAGGTGAAGGCAGCCGCGCACTTCAAGCTTCTCAATGCCAACACAGCTTGCAGGTGAGCTGCAAGGAGCAAACCGCTCCCCGGCGTCGGAAAACAATATCTGAAACTTGCTGGGACATGTCTCTACAGCGCTTAGTTCACGTTCCCTGGGTTTTCGCCACAACACCGACCTCCGCAAACGAAAAAGGCAGGTACGACTGCAAACCTTATAAACATTGCAGCGAGGCAGTGACATGCACGGAATGCACGGCCATGTACGCAAGTACGCAAAGAAAGATGCATCAAGCCGACGATGTTGCATGACACGAGGGAAGCAAAGCCTGCAGAAGTCCTGTGCAAAAAAGAAGCGTCTCCTGCCCCAAGACTGTGCGTCTGGACTGTCACAGAAACCCTGCACACAGCCAGTGCAGATCATCCCCGCCGGCACCAGCTATGTACTGCCAAACATTCATTCAAATCTGCAATGCGGTACAAGCGTCTGGTGGCCCCCTCATCCACAGCAATCTGCATTTTGGCCATCACCGTGAAGCGGTAGAACGAATACCACCCAAATTGCTTGATGCCCTGACCGGGCTGCTCCCTGAAACTGTTGCAAACCACTATCGGCCCGCGACTTGAACGGTCTTCGCAGCATCAACCACCGACAACTCAATCATGGACCGTGCATAGGAAGCGCAGTCTCCGGTGAACGACCCTGAAGCTCTGACTCTCGCACCTTGCTCTCCCGCATCGGGGGAGCTTCGAAAAGCGGCATGAAAGCGAATTTTGCCTCGGGTCCGGCATACTCTTGCAGCGGCAAGGGCTGCTGGCACTACCTGGCACCCTCAGAAAGCATAGCCAGTGCCGCAGGCAAGTTAGGTCGCGCACGCGCCCGTGAGATTCTTGGAGTTCTTTTGCTCTGTTGTGTGCCCGAACCACCCTCTTCACCTCACCGACATCCTTCACGTCGCATGCAGCAATGATCACGGCCCACCCGTCTGCCGTTAGTTTGTTGACCTCTTTGCCTTGCAGAGGGTGGCACGATGCTGTTGCACTCCGTGAAAACAACCGCATCATGCAACCAACAGGGCCCGGACCCAGAGCTTTAAGGGAAATTTGCGATGCCCAGTTGATCTTGGTGTAGTCAAGGACCTTCTTCCCGTCATCGTAGAAGGGGTGCTTCTCCGATTTAAACGCTGCCAACCTCGGGTTGTGAGCAGGATTCATATCCTCATCACGGATCACTTCACAGACGTTGTCAGGTGCTTCCCACTAGATGAGTCGCCGACATGTCGTCTTGTAGCTCCCTAGCCGCTCGAAAGAGATAAGCATGCCGCGGTTTGGTGGTGTGATCCTTTAGGATCAGCATCTTGACTCCTTGACAACACTGCAGGGCTGCAGCACATTCGTGGAAGGCAACTCTGAACGAAAATGCAGCTCAACAGGACGGTCCTTCCGCACCTTCATCGAAAGTGGATTGGATGATTGAGTACACTGCGTGTCGGTAGTGGGCGTACCAAACATGGTAGAGCTCTGCATCCTTCTTTCGTCTGGCGGCCTGCAACAAGAGCTTGTATGTGTTTCAACAGTGCCTGACAGTGCTTGCCCGCTGCCGTAAGGCGGACGAAGCGGTCTTCTCTTGGCAACACTAGCATGACTTGGTTCTTACCATAAAGAGAATCTAGGGCTGCCTGCGTACCATGCCTACCTAACCCTTCCCGGAACTTCCGAAAGACACATGCCGCCAACATGCATGCCTGTCGCCGAGATCTCCAGAGATAGAAACCGCCGAGGCAAAAGCAGCTTCCCACGATGCTGCTTGTCCTTGCGATGCGACTTGGAATGTAAAGACAGGAGCAGCCAAAAGCTGAATGAAAACTCGATGGCTTTCCCGACTTTGCCACAGCAACCGCGTGCAACACAACCGAAAAGACCTTGAGATGAATTGAATGAACATCTGCCGCCCGAGCACGCTGCGGCCCAAAACCACGGCTGCTCGGGAAGCCAAGCCTGCAACTTGTGCTTTGCATGGAGGCACAACTACAGAAAGCTTCGATGCGCCTCAAGGCACACCTTGAAAGAATCGCGAACTGCCCCTTCGCGCCGAAGGATGAAGCCTTCCGGCACAGGCCCAGCACCAATGGTCATGAACATACTCTCGTTTCCATAACGTTCTTGTCCATTGATCAGTAGGGGAGACCAGTGTGGTCTTTCCTCCCAGAAGAGGCGTCGCTGGTTCGACTCATCGACAAAAATTCCGCAAGCAGTCTTGTCGGCGTTCGGGTAGTTGCCGTTGGTGATGCAGCCCTCATCATCAACTTCGCAGTACCTCAAGGCACCGCGCTGTCTTTTATTGCTGCAAAAACCCTCTTTCAGCCTCTGTCCTGCACAGAATTGGATCGAAAGGAATGAACAAAAGATGAGATATCGGCGAAGTCAAAGGGAGTTATTCTCTGTTTTCTCTTCCAACTTCAACTTGCATGCGGAACTGGTCCTGGTGGGACTCAGTTGGCCTTGACTCCCGCCACGAGTTTGCATGCAGCTTCAGCATACTAAGCCCAGCAGTCAATGCGCTGACAAACGCCTGACCAGACTCGAGCCACCATGCATGTAGCGGGGTCAGCTTCCCAAGGCCCTCTCTGGATAGATGGAAGGTGACAGGCGTCATTCGTTGGCAAGTTGGGCTGGGTGGAGGGTTGCCTCTCGCGCACAAGTGCACGCGCACCCACATATCCATCATTATCCACCCCAGAAACCGCTCGAAGGCTGGTGGCCACTCTCTCTGTCTCCGTCTTCTTCTGCATCTCTCTCAGGCACCGGCTGTCTTCCCCTCTCTTTGAATGATTTCTCTCGCTCGTTTTCTCCTCTTTCCCAGGTTTAGAGGAGAAGGGGGATGCCTTCTCCACGCGCTTAAGCGCTCACTACTTTTGCGGGCAAAGGGTTTCGACACACACTCTCTCTCTCTCTCTATCTCTCTCTCTCTCTCTCTCCCTCTCTCTCTTTCTGTCTGTCTCTCTCACCAAGCGGCGCACCCTGCAACCACGCGCCAAGACCGGCCATTCACATCAACCTGCGGCACTCGTCTGCGTTCAGTCTAGGCCCAGTACAGCGCAACAATGCCATCAAAGCATTCGTGTCGCAGGAGTCTTGAGATTTATGCAAGGCACCACCGCGGACCTACTCTGCACTGAGCTCCAGGCTTTGGCCATGTTTGTCGGCACCTGCCAGATTGTCAACTATCAACCAAAGAGATATGACGCCATGCCAAAGCAGCAGAGCCTCACCAAGGCAGATTGCCCAGCCATAGCGGCTGGCAGGATCAACACGGTCCTCTCTGACAGAGAAAACTCCAAAGACTGCACCTAGCCGTCTTCGTGTCAACTTTAGTTAACACTCCTCGAGATACAGATGCTTCTCTCACAACTCCGCAACAGCGGGTCAAGTCTAGTTGTTTTTTGCAGCTGAGACACAGCCCTCCACTGAATGGTTCCCTGAGGCACCACGTCATGCGGGCCAGTCGTACCGGAGTAGCTTTCGCCATTTACCGTCAGAATGTCTTTGGGGCCAGTCGTGAAGGCGAGGACTTGGATGGGCAACGTATTATTTTCGGCAACCTGGATAGTGCACTGCCCGTAGCTCGTGTAGAAGCTCTCTGGAAACCTTCTGGTGGTGATGCATTGGCTGTCTGGTAGAATCTCACAGGACCTCATATGAGGGAACAGCTCTAGCAGTCTCGCAGATGTGAGGTTGCTTCTGTGCATGCATCGTGGTGACCTCCTCTCAACACAGTGGACCCTCGGGGCCAAGCCCGGATGACACAAACCATGTCGCTGCCGTAATGCTTACCTGCCAAGTTCTGAACATTTCAATATTGCCGGCCATGACGAGCACTCACCACTCGGGTGTTAAACTAGGGACAATGCTGCATCATCGTCCGGCTCACCTACGGTTTGCCGGGCCGCCTGGTCTTCAGAGACGTCCGTCTCAGCATCCGTGCACCGCGTTTGCCAACCAGAATCTGGCGGCAAGGTCGCAAGTGTGTCGGCCCTCCTTGAAAGGCGAACGGTTTAGGGTTTCGGGTTTACGGCTTGATTGAACGGTCATGACGGTCCGCCATCTTTCAACGAAACAGGTGCACTGAAGGCATGCTCACTCAAGCATCCCCCTCAACATTGAATTGATCGTAGATTTCGGTATACGCAAAAAACCTGGTGGAGCAATCCTCATGAGCCTCATGGGCTACTCTTCCAGCGAGAGCGCACCACAAATCTTGAACCCCAAGCCTGGGTCAACAAACCTGCCCAAACAATCCAAGCATCCCACACTGTTCCTGATAGGAAGCTCTACACGTCTATAACCTTCATATCACCCGCAGCAAAACAAAATCCCTAAACCCAAAGCCCTGACCCCTCGAACTCTAAACCCCTGAACTTCCCAACGATCAATCCGCAGCGCACGTCCCGAAAAACAAGAGCCTCTGAGAACCTCTTCCGAGGATCGAATAGAACTCGCAGGAGTCGGCACCGTCGTCAGGGGCAGTACTTTTGAAGTACCATGCTGGGCCGCATTGCTCATCGTACCACAGGTACACTGCAGAGGATGTGATGATGTTCTCGTACTTGTACCAAGGTCTTCCGAGCCGAGTCCAACCCTGGAGCTCGTAAACGCCGCCGAGCAAAGAGCGGCAGCTTCTTCGGACCCGCAGCGATGGAGACGCAGCGAAAGCCTCCGAAGGTTCATGCGATTCCTATGTGGAGATCAGGGGGCCTACTTCATGGTTGAAGGTACTTTCTGTCTCGGTCCAACGCAGTTGACATCTGACTTCCGATCTGCTGTTGATGAAATCTCTCTCCGCCCTCCCCTCTTTTTGTCCACACCAGAGAGTTCCACACCTCTACCCGCATTCAGAGGTCCACCCTTCAGCAAAACCTGACCACCCCCTTTTCCGTGACTAAGTTCAAGCAGAGAGCACGACTCCAGGATCTGGTGGTGGTCTCTGTTGTGGTGGTCTCCTTTGTTGGCGATCCATCCGGTCACTTCGCAATGGAATAACAAGGCAAGGCAAAAGCCATGCAGGCAACGCAAAAGCCCGCATGCTGCAACACTCACCAAACCTTTCAATCCGATGCGAATTGAATGTACACTCTCCGCCCTCCCCCTCCCTTGCAAGCTGATTGTGCACACCTAATGAGTTCTGATCGCATTCAGACGTCCACCCCCACGATGTGGCAGTCTTTCAGGACAGCTGGCCATGCATTGCCGTGACTAAGTTCAAGCAGGCAGCTGTCCGCGTTGTAGTGGTCTCCTTTGTTGACGATCCATCCGATCACTGCGCAATGGAACAAGGCAACACAAAAGCCGGCATGCTGCAACACTCACCGAACCTTTCAATCCGAGGGCAGTGCCAAAAAAACGCACGGATCGTCAACGGCAGAGCTCCAGGCTGTGCTCTGATGAAGAACCCTTATCACTCAGCAGCCGACCCGACCTTTTGAAGAGCTGCCATTAGTTAAGCTAAGCTCACGGGAGCACAAAAGACGGCACCGGAGGTCTTGGGCCGACACCGGGGACAACATCCACCGAAGAGCATTGGCTGCCACATGTGGGGGGCGGTGAGAAACGTTGGACCTGCAATGATCAGCCAAGCCTCGCTTAGGGTTGTGGTCGTGACTGTCGAAGGAGGCGCCACCTCGACTCAGCTCGGAACGACGCAGAGAGAAGCACTAGTTGCCACACTTTAGGGTGTAGGGTTTAGGGTTTAGGGTTTATGAAGGGTCATGCTGCAACACTGGCTCCTGCATCAACTCGTGCCGAGGCGCTGGTGAAAGTGTGAGCAGACCATCAATAAACGTTTCCGTGTCGATGTCGGGACAGTACAGTCTCCAGGTTGCTCTTTGCGGGGGCTGCTCTGTGACGACACCTAACCACCTGGACTCCACAACACATTGCGAACACGGTAACCCAGTGGATGTGATTCAATTCTAGGCTGCATGAAAGGCAAGATTTCCAAAGCCATGGAGCGCCGCGGAATAACAAGCTCCATCATCGTCCAAGTCATGCATCAAAGTGGTCGAAGGAGCACTGGTCAAGAATATCCACGAGCCGCCCTCAGCGGCACTGTTTGTGGTCGCATTGCCGTCGCAATCCGGATCGTAGAACAGGTACAGCGGCTCGGCAGCGTGTTTATACACTGGCCTCATGCTGGCAGTGTAGTCCAGCAGCTCATAACGAGCATTGAAACTGGATTGGCAGTGGCCGTCCACCACCAGGTCCCTCAGAACCTGCGACAGTGTATCAACAGAAAGCAAATTGGAAATGTGACCAGGTTACAAGTTATGGAGGAGCAGCATCGAACACGTGTCACAAGAGTGTGACAAGAAGGCTCCACACAACCCTCACGTTCCTCTTTGACATCGAGATGCCCTCAAGATAAGCACTGCGTCATCTTTCCATTCACCGCAATATGAGCGCCACGTTCCAGTCCGGGGCGGATTGTGGGAATCACTGATCAGTCGCGAGGCGTACGTGCAGCTTCCGTCCGAGTCCTGAGCTGCTCTTGAAATCCTCAAGATCAGGCGCCAGACGAGACGCTTGCAAATTTTTGCGCAGACAAAGAGAGAAAAAACGCCAAAAACTTCTTCCAATCCGGGCTAGACTCAAGATCTGAAAGCGCAAGCAGTGATGGACTGGCGGATCCGAAGATCCAGCGCCCCGGGCCGAAGCCATTTCCGTCACAGTCCGGGTCGTAGAA